TTTGGTTTATGTAATATATTCATGTTTTATGGGTTTTTTCTTTAGTTTTCACGGTGACTCAAAACTGGTTTGAACCAAGTAAAAGTGAAACATACTGCATCCGTCGAGGCTCTCCGTGTTTTTCTTTGGTCTGAGGGACTGCTACACTATGGATCTCCAGGCGAGAAAACAAGATGGCGATAATTAAACCAAGTGGCTCCACGACAAAAAAAGTTTAAACAGCAGTTTGCTTTAGTCCTGTTCTTATACATAATTCTAAGATGAAAACATTTAATGCGTAGAGCAGCTTGTTTTCTAATGAACATTAAAAAAGAAAATGAACATTTAAACCCTGTAAGTTTGGATCGCCCACCATCGCTGTATTTATTAGAAATTTTAAATTGAAATTAGTATCCAAAAAAGACCAGTGACATCTAACCATTTACTAACAACCTTGACCCTAATGGGGTCAGGAGGTTCTGGGGTCACCCTGCACTCTGTCCTTTCTCACCTGGACAACAAGAACACTTATGCCAGAATGCTGTTCTTAGACTTTAGTTCAGCATTTAACACTGTCATTCCATCAACACTCATTGCCAAACTCACAGACCTCGGCATCAGTTCACTCATGTGCAACTGGTTGCTCGACTTCCTGACCAGTCGACCCAACACGTCCGGCTGGACAATCACTTCTCATCCACCATCATCATAAACACCGGAGTGCCACAAGGCTGTGTGATGAGTCCCTTCCTCTACTCTCTCTTCACCCACGATTGCAGACCTGTCCATGGCTCTAATGCCATCATCAAGTTTGCAGATGACATCACGGTGATCGGCCTCATCACAGACAACGATGAGGCCGCCTACAGGGAGGAGGTGGACCGTCTGGCTGAGTGGTGCGACAAGAACTACCTGCAGCTGAACAACGAGAAGACCCAGGAGCTCATCGTGGACTTCAGGAGGAACGCTGACCTGCACCCACCCATCCACATCAAGGGAATAGCGGTGGAGTGTGTGAACAGCTTTAAGTTCCTGGGAGTCCACATCTCCGAGGACCTGATCTGGACGACCAACTGCTCCAAATTCATCAAGAAGGCGCACCAGCGCCTCTTCTTCATGAGGACCTTGAGGAAGAACTGTCCTCAGATATCCTCACCAACTTTTACCGCTGCACCATTGAGACCATCCTCACCATCTGCATCACAGTTTGGTACGGGAGCTGCTCTGTCTCCGACAGGAAGGCTGCAGAGGGTGGTGAAAACTGCCCAGCACATCGCCGGGGCATCGCCCTGCCATCAATGACATCTACAGAAAGCGGTGTCTAAAAAGGGCCTGGAAAATCACCAAGGACTTCACTCACCCTGCACACACACTCTTCTCTCCTGCCCTCTGGGAGGCGATACAGACGCCTACGGACCAGAACCACCAGGCACCGGAACAGCTTCGTCCCCACAGCTGTCAAGCTCCTGAACGCCTCCTGACACAAACTATAAGGACTGTACCCCCCATCCCCAGACTGGTCCCCTCACATACACGATCTGTATACAGTCTTTATATAATCTGTAAATATAATTTTCCATTATTTATCCTGTATTATAAGACAACTAATATATATATACACAATCCATTTTTCATATTCCTGTATATTCTGTATAATCCTGGTAATCTGTATTATATGTACATAGCTGTCATATTTATATTTGTATAAAACATTTATAGCACGTCAATATTCTCTGTTTATATCTTTGTACACCTGTTTATAAATATTCATATCCTGTATAGCACTTCTGGATAGATGCAAACTACATTTCGTTGCTTTGTACATGTGACAGTACAATGACAATAAAGTTGAATTCTATTCTATTCAGTCTGTCGCAGGGCGACTCAGAGACAGTGCAATAATATTAGCCTGCATGATCTTTTGCTCTCAGGTTAGGGCTCTGCTTTGCTGCACAAGCATCAGCCTTTTCCCTGCAATAAGCTTCTAGCTATTTTTATTACTTATTAGCCATGTTAGGACCCTGAATGCAGGAAGTCAATGTAAGACCACATTGTAATGATGCCCCACATGCTACTAGCAGCATTTAGGCTAACATTAGCATTTTGGCTCATTTTAGATTATACACTAATTTTAACAAACTGAATGGAGGAAGTCCATGTTAGTCAACATGCTTGTGACTTTCCACAGGCTATTGACTATAATTCAGTTTAGCTTAGCACTGATGCTAATTGTTAGCATCAGAGCGCTGGGTCCAAACTTGGGCCACACTTTAGCAGGCCCCGGTTACATTTCTCCAGGGATTTTCTATTTTTACTTAATTTACTTTAAATACGTTTACAAACACAACGATTATTTATTTGTAAAAACTCTCTTTAACCTGACTAATCAGTAAACCGTGAAGCTGTTTCGTACCTATCCGGTGCAAGATGATCTTGGGTATCCGGGTAAAATCCATCAGTCTGCGCTGATCGTCCATCTCTTCCTCCATCTTAACGTTGATTTCTTTCCACTCTGTGAATGTTTCTTCAGCAGGAGTTTCCTGCTGCTTGATAAACTTTCTGAGGCTGAACTGAAGACATTTTCACTGAAAACACGGAAATATTTTCTGAAAACACCAAACCTGTTTTCAAACCGTCTAACAAAAGAACAGCTAATGCTCCCTCGTGCGCTCTGAGATGGTTCCTGTGTTTCACTTTGACTGCACGGAAGAAACTGTAAACGATTTTTAGTTCCGCTTTGCATCTTTCATTTTGAGTTTCCTCTCAACTGTTATATTAAATATTTTACAACATTAACAAAAGGTGTTAATGTTGTGAATCGTTGTATTAAAGTAATTGCACACAAACGGGAGTTTTACAGGCCTTTAATCTCTGTTCTTTTGAAAATTATCCTCCGCTAATAGAAACAGCATTTATAATTAAAATAAAAGTGGGCTTGGAGCCAGTTATCACAAGATACTTTTGATTGTACAAAACGGGCCATATTTGAAGGTATTTCTTATTTCTTGTGTAATTTTTAGCTTGTCACACAGTCTATTGTTATATCAGCAATTTAAATAGCCAAATAATAATAAACTGCCTTTACCTTCTCTACAGTAAAACAGCTGATGGAGTTCTGTACATCCTCTCTAAGAGCAAGTTTCCTGCAACAATAAAGTGGAGGCATCAGAAATAATTGTAAACCCAGCGCACGCTGCATGTTGAACAAACCTCTAGATGAATCAGACTGAGCTCTGATCCCCTCCACGATCATCCTGCTTTTAAATGTAAATGCTGATTACCCGTCTCCCTAATAAACCAACGTCTCCCCTACATGGGCAAGCGGAAGAGTGCGCAGCACCATACTTCATGGACAAGATGCCCCGGCTACACAATATATGTACAACCTGAGCAGGCAATGTTATTAATCATTCATTTAAAATCAGACAAAAGGGAAAATGGAACCAGACACATAAAATAACCAAGGAAAACACTGAGACACTTGATCTGGCAGGACTCATGTCTTTATCATCTATGTTACAACATGTGCCACACTAATCTGGTTCTGTCCAGATTCTTTGATTTTCCAGACTCGATATGTCAGGAACCTTTCAGGCGATCAGAACTTGACTGGTTCAGAAAAACTGGTGATGAGTTTCTGTTGAATGATTCACCTCCAGCAGCATCAACCACACATCATGTCTCCACCTGCAGGCCTGACAGAGACGCAATTTTATGCTGCCACCTACTGACAAGAGCCTGATACTACAACTACATTGTTTCAGCTCAAACAGCTGTTATAAAAATCACTGACTCAGCCATTTTTACAGGTGTAAGAAATAAGAATTAAATTTGAGTTTATTAATTTGGATGGCAAAACCAGAAAAATCCTGTATTTAATGTTTTTAAACTTGAAGATGTTTTTCCTTCAGTGGTTCTTGATCTACATCAGATCAGAAAGAGGGAAACTCATTTGACTGAGGTCAACAAAACTAAAAGATCAGAAATCCAAAGCTCTTAACTGCAGAAGACATTGTGGGAGTTGACTAACTTATAAATTTTTGACATTTTTTAAAATATTCTTGAATTGCAAAAGAGATTTCTGGTTTGCTTTTGTGTCACATTACAGTGTTGCAGATCGTCTGCAGTGTTTTCTCTGGTTACAGTAACTGAAAGGTGTAAAAAAGGTCCATGTAGTTTCTGACAATGCAGAATTAATAACTAATGAAAACATTACATTTGAGATTAGAATAATAAATCAGTTATGAAAAATAATTTAATTTTGTAAAATTTAATAAACGTGACCTTTTTAAAAATTCTTAATATTAATATTGATGGAAAAATCTCAATTTGTGTAAAACTCAAGTTTTACTGTTATTGCAAGGATCTTTAGATGCTTTACTTAAAGCTGACATTTAAAAATATTGCAACAGTTAATGACGACAATCATTGAATAATCCATCAACATTTATTAAAAAGCACATTCTGCTCAAAATACTGGTACATTTTTAACACTCCTTCTTAATCATAAACTTTGCTTCACATACCAAAGTAAAAGAATGACAAAAAAATAAAAAATAAAAATAAAAAAATGGAAAAATAAATCTGTTTGTGGTTAACTCTAAATCAAAACCTGACCAGATCAAAGTTATTTTTGAGATTATATTCCAACAAACATCAGTTTTATTCATAAAAAAACAAGATTTCACTGCTTTCATTTCTAAAGTATTTTAAAATCAGTCAGACACAAAAATGTAAAAGCTAAACTAAATTATTCTACATGCCACAGAACAAAACAAAAACCCACAGAAATGAATCCTGTCTGAATGTGATCCCCTCTTTAACTTCACCATCTAATGGGGATCTTAAGCACAAATACGACTGAGAACTAAAACAAAAAACTGGATTAAGAAAAACAAGCTGATAGCAGAAATCAGACCTCAGGTTTATCATGGCTGGACAATGAAACAAACAGTCACAGTGAATCACTAGCAGCCTGCAAGAATTTGTTTTCTACTTGCTGTTTTTCCATTGGATTGGACACAAAAAAACGGATCATATCTGTTTCCTTGCAAAAGTTTCCAGTATGAGAAAGTCTTTATGTGATTAGTTAAATTACTTCTGTCATTGTAAGTCTTTCCACAGGTTCCACAGGAAAAAGGCTTCTCACCTGTGTGACCTCATGTGAACTTTTAAATGACCTTTTTCAGAGAAACTCCTTCCACAGGTCTCACAAGAGAAAGGCTTCTCACCTGTGTGAATTCTCATGTGAACATTTAAACTACGTTTTTGAGAGAAACTCCTTCCACATGTCCCACAAGAGAAAGGCTTCTCACCCGTGTGAATTCTCATGTGAACATTTAAACTACATTTTTGAGAGAAACTCCTTCCACAGGTCCCACAAGAGAAAGGCTTCTCACCTGTGTGAATTCTCATGTGAACATTTAAATTACGTTTTTCAGAGAAACTCCTTCCACAGGTCCCACAAGAGAAAGGCTTCTCACCTGTGTGAATTCTCATGTGAACATTTAAATGATCTTTCTTAGAGAAACTCCTTCCACAGGTCCCACAGGAGAAAGGCTTATCACCTGTGTGAATTCTCATGTGAACATTTAAACTAAGTTTTTTATAGAAACTCTTTCCACAGGTCCCACAAGAGAACGGCTTCTCACCCGTGTGAATTCTCATGTGAACATTTAAATGATCTTTCTGAGAGAAACTCTTTCCACAGGTCCCACAGGAGAAAGGCTTATCACCTGTGTGAATTCTCATGTGATGAATTAAATTCTGTTTTTGACTGTGACTCTTTCCACAGGTCCCACAGTAGAAAGGCTTCTCACCTGTGTGAATTCTCATGTGTTGAATCAAAGTCTGTTTTTGACTGTAACTCTTTCCACAGGTCCCACAGGAGAAAGGCTTCTCACCTGTGTGAATTCTCATGTGTTGAATTAAAGTCTGTTTTTGACTGTAACTCTTTCCACAGCTCCCACAAGGGAAAGGCTTCTCGCCTGTGTGAATTCTCATGTGAACATTTAAATGATCTTTCTTAGAGAAACTCTTTCCACAGGTGCCACAGGAGAAAGGCTTCTCACCTGTGTGAATTCTCATGTGATAAGTTAAACTACGTCTATGAATATAACTCTTCTCACAGGTGCCACAGGAGAAAGGCTTCTCACCTGTGTGAATACTCATGTGTGCAGTTAAACTCCTTCTGTCATTGTAACCCTTTCCACAGGTGCCACAGGAGAAAGGCTTCTCACCTGTGTGAATTCTCATGTGATGAATTAAAGTCTGTTTTTGACTGTAACTCTTTCCACAGCTCCCACAGGAGAAAGGCTTCTCACCTGTGTGAATTCTCATGTGAAGATTTAAATTACGTTTTCTAGAGAAACTCTTTCCACAGGTCCCACAGGAGAAAGGCTTCTCACCTGTGTGAATTCTCATGTGAAGATTTAAACTGGCTCTACTGCTGAAACTTTTTCCACAAGTCCCACAAGAAAAAGGCTTCTCACCTGTGTGAATCCTCATGTGAACTTTTAAATGTTCTTTTTGAGAGAAACTTTTTCCACAGGTCCCACAGGAGAAAGGCTTCTCACCTGTGTGAATTCTCATGTGATAAGAGAAACTCTTTCTATGATTATAACTCTTTCCACAGATCCCACAGGGGAAAAGCTTCTCATCTGCACAATTTCTCATGTGAGAATTTAAAATATATTTTTGGGAGAAACTTTTTCCACAAGACCCACAAGAGAACGGCTTCTCACCTGTGTGAATTCTCATGTGCCTCTTCATGCCATCCTTTCGAGAAAAAGTTTTATCACAAATTCTACAAGAGTATAATTTTTGCCCTGGATGAGCTTTCTTGTGCATGATTTTTTCTTCAGTGTCAGTTCTGTCTTTCTGCTGTTTGGTTTTCTCATATTTCTTCTTTTGTTTCTGACCTTCCTTTCTTCTTTTTCCTGGGTCTTCAGAATTGCTTCCTTCCTGATTCCGGTTCTCAGTTTCTGGAGAGCCGTGAGAGATGAGTTGGTTCCTCTGTGGTTCTGTTTCATTGAGAACCTCCTCATTTTCACACACACGACATTGTGGGAGATCTGGACAAAAAGACAAAACAAAAGCTTTTAAATTTCAATCAAACAAATTATCCTTCACTTTTATTATCTTCACCCATCCATCCATTTTCTTCCACTTATCCGGGGTCGGGTCACGGGGGTAGCAGCTTCAGAAGGGAGGCCCAGACTTCCCTCTCCCCAGCCACTTCCTCCAGCTCCTCCAGGGGAACCCCGGGGCGTTTCCAGGCCAGTCGGGAGACATAGTCCCTCCAGCATGTCCTGGATCTTCCCCGGGGCCTCCTCCCGGTGGGATGTGCCCGGAACACCTCACCAGGGAGGCGTCCAGGAAGCATCCTGACCAGATACCCGAACCACCTCAGCTGGCTCCTCTTGATGTGGAGGAACAGCGGCTCTACTCTGAGACCCTCCCAGATGACCGAGCTTCTCTCTCTAAGGGAGAGCCCAGCCACCCTACGGAGAAAACCCCTTTCGGCCGCTTGTATCCATGATCTCGTTCTTTCAGTCATAACCCAAAACTCATGACCATAGATGAGGGTTGGAATGTAGATAAACCGGTAAATCGAGAGCTTTGCTTTTTTTACTCAGCTCTCGCTTCACCATGACAGAGCGGTAAAGTGCCTACTTCATGGCAGACACTGTGCCGATCTGCCCGTCGATCTCCTGTTCCCATCTTCCTGCATTCGTGAACAAGATCCCGAGATACTTGAACTACACCACCTCGGGCACGACACCCTCCTCGACCCGGAGAAGGCACTCTACCTGGCTCAAGACCATGGCCTCGAATTTGGAGGCGCTGATCTTCATCCCAGCTGCTTCACACTCGGCTGTGAACCGCTCCAGCGAGAGCTGCAGATCACGTCCTGATGAAGCCAACAGCACTACATCACGAAGGGCAGCCCTGGCAGAGTCCAACCCTCACCGGAAACGACCCCGACTTACTGCTGGAAATGCGGACGAGACACTAGTCATACAGGGACCTGACAGCCTGTATCAAAGGGCCAGGTGCCCCATACTGCCGGAGAACACCCCTCAAACCTTGTCTGCAGAGATTGGAGAGCCCGACCCAGAGTCCCTAGGCTCATCTTCCTCAATGGAAGGCATGTTGGTGGGATTGAGGAGGTCTTTGAAGTATTCTCCCCACCCGCCCACAATGTCCTGAGTCGAGGTCAGCAACACACCATCCCCACTATAAACAGTATTGGTGTTGCACTGCTTCCCTCTACTGAGACACCGGATGGTGGAACAGAATCGCCTCAAAGCCATGTGGAAGTCTTTCTCCTTGGCCTTTCCAAACTCCTCCCATGCCCACGTTTTTGCCTCGGCAACCACCAGAGCCGTATGCCATTTCGCCCACCGGTACCCATCAACTGCTTCTGGAATCCCACAAGCCAAAAAGGCCCAATAGGACTCCTTCAACCTGACAGCATTCCTCACCGAAGGTGTCCACCAACGAGTTTGGGGGTTGCCACCACGACAGGCACCGACCTTACGGCCACAATTCCGATGAGCCGCCTCGGCAATAGAGGCACGGAACATTGTCCACTCAGACTCAATGACCCCCACTGCCCCCGGAACGTGTTCGAAGTTCTGCCGGAGATGGGAGTTAAAGCTCCGTGTCACAGGGGATTCTACCAGACGTTCCCAGCTCACCCTCATAACACGTTTTCCTCGTGTTCCTCCCAACCACACCCCTCCAGGTCTCAATGTCATTGTCCATGTGAGCGTTGAAGTCCCCCAGCAGAACAAGGGAGTCCGCAGGAGGGTCACTCTCCAGTACCCCCATAAGGACTCCAAGAAGGGTGGGTAATCTGAATTTTAGACGGAGGGAGGCTACCCTCTCATTCACAGGGGTAAGCCCTGTGAATGAGACCCAACGTACAGGCACTGAGATGGGGAGCAACAAGTATGTCCACTACTGCCCAATGCCTCTCACCGTGGGCAACTCCAGAGTGGAAGTATGTCCAGCCCCTCTCAAGGAGACTGGTTCCAGAACCAGAGCCATGCGTCGAGGTAAGGCCAACTATTTCTAGCCGGAAGCTCTCAACCTCGCACACTAGCTGTGGCTCCTCCCCCAGCAGAGAGACGACATTCCACGTCCCAAAAGCCAGCTTCTGCAACTGAGGATCGGACCTCCAGGGCCCCCTCCCTTGCCCATCTCACAATGTACTCGACACCTTTGGCCCCTCCTACGGGTGGTGGGCCAATGCGAGGGGGGACCCATATTTCATCTTCGGACTGAGCCCAGCCGGGCTCCATGGGTAAAAGCCCGGCCACCAGGCGCTCACCTTTGTGACCCCCCCTCCTGGCCTGGCTCCAGAGTGGGCCCTGGTGACTCTCGTCAGGGAGAGGGAACACAAATTCCAAAGTTGTTATCCATCATCGGGGTCTTCGGGCTGCATTTTCTCTGGTCCCTCACTTAGGACCTGTCTGCTTTGGGGGACCCTACTTGGGGTATAAAGCTGCAGACAGCATAGCTCCGAGGATCATTAGGGCACTCAAACCTCTTCACTGCAATAAGGTGGCAGCCCAAAGAGAGGCTGCCACCTTATCGCTGCCACCTGCATTTAATATCTTGATACATCAAAACAGGATTTCTTCAGTTTTTCTAAAATTACATTCTTACAAGAATGAAAATTAATTCAACCAATGAGGTTCTTCTCACCAGGAAGGAACTAGATGCGAGTCAAAATATGATATCATGGACCTCCAAGTGAGCAAACAAGATGGCGATAGTTTCACCTGGTGGCTTCCTGACAAATATTACAAAAAGTTTGAAGAGTCGCATAAAATGCCTAACACAGAACCCCAAATGGCCTTTTAATCTCACCCATTGATATTGTCAGACATTGCTCCGCTCACACTCAACACAAACCTTCAAAGGCACGACTAAATTTCAGCTTTTACTTTCCTGAGAGATGCAGCAGAATTGGTAACAGTGGGGTGATTGTCGTTAACATGCAGAAGATAATGGCAAAATGATCCTATTGAAAATATTTGACATGAATATTGAACAACGTGGAAGATTAAATATGATAGGTGAAAATAGACAATGATATAAATTTAAGCATTTTATTTAATACTCAATTCATTAAATATGTCACTACATCATTAAAATGGAAACACTCAATCATGATAATTAATAATTAACCATTTAATTGTCTGTTCTTCTTATTATTAATATCACTATTATTTCCTGGTGTCAGTTCCTGCAGTATAACCATGAAATCACCTTTTGATCCTTTATCCAGGAGTCGCAACTTTGTTCACTGAACTTGTTAGTTCAGTAAAGACAAGCAGTGGTTACTGCATTCTAGTGAATTAATAAAAGACACCTGATCTCAGTCTCCTTGTACCATTTCACCACAGTGACTCTTTTACATGTCTATCGCTGTTACTGATGTATGAAAAAAATTCTATAATTAATAAACAAATAATGCTCAACCTGCTGGTTTTCCAGACTTATAACACTGGGAAAAACCCTGGGGATTCTTTAAAAAGCAGCATAAATCTTTTCATTTTGAATTAAAAAACATCTATGTTTGCCAACTATAAGCAGTATTTTTCTAATCTGTCTCTTAAACTGATTTATATAATCAGTCATTTATTTATTGTTTAATTTGACATAGAAAGCAGCTAAGCAATAGCAAACAGATGGTACACAAAACAATAAAAACTAATTATTTTAAACATAATCTTTAACCAGTACGAGTAAAGATCAGACCGTCACGGATCACAAACTTAGACATTATATGATGAATAGTGAACAGTCCAGGTCAAAGTTGATCATTCTAAGTGTTTAGAATGACATGAGATGCATTTAAGGCACTTTTTAAAGTAGTCACGGAAACTGTACTTCTATTATATGATGAATGAATCATAATAGAATAATATTATATGGTGAATAGTAGGTCGCTGTTGATCATTTTTAAGTATTTAATGTTTGCAGCTGGAGGAGGATTTATTAGTCTTTAGTTTGGAGTAAAAGCTCTTTGAGTTCAGCGCTTCTTAACCTCTTTAAAACATCTCCAACTTTATTCAACCTGACTAATCAGTAAACCGTGAAGCTGTTTCGTACCTATCCGCTGCAAGATGATCTTGGGTATCCGGTAAAATCCATCAGTCTGCGCTGATCGTCCATCTCTTCCTCCATCTTAACGTTGATTTCTTTCCACTCTGTGAATGTTTCTTCAGCAGGAGTTTCCTGCTGCTTGATAAACTCTCTCTGAGTCTGAACTGAAGACATTTTCACTGAAAACACGGAAATATTTACCGAAAACACCAAACCTGTTTTCAAACCGTCTAACAAAAGAACAGCTAATGTTCCCTCGTGCGCTCTGAGATGTTTCCTGTGTTTCACTTTGATTGTCCTGAAGAAACTGTGAACGACCTTTAGTTCCGCTTTGAATTTTCCACTTTGAGTTTCCTCTGAACATACAACTAAATTAAATATTTTAGAGTAATGAAAGGTTTATTTATTTCTGCGAGTGAAACACAATGATTATAGACAAACTAAAAGCTAAAGATACACTGTTTTCTAAGTACCTTTTCATGTGTTTCACTTTGGTTCTCCTGAAGAAACTGTAAACGAGTTTTAGTTCCCGCTTGCATTTTCCTCTTTTCCTTCGATGCTTATTGGCAATGAATGAAATGCTGCATTACCAACTCAATGTGACATACTGGTCCACTGGTTTGGAGTGTGGATCAGAATGTCACTCTAGTGTTAAATTATATTAAATAACTGCGTTCATTTAAGACAACAAAATATTATCTGGTAAATGTTATTTTTGCATTTATCTAAACCTTCTGAATATGTTTGTGTCCATGTAATCCTCTTATCAAACCAAACCCCAGGAAATTTAAATTGTTTCACTTTTTCTATTTCTTGATTATATAATTTAATTGAAATGTATGTTGCAATTTTTTGAATATGATCTTTTTAGTTTGTAAAACAGACTAATGTTTTATATCAAGTTGTAATTGTTTAAATTGAGATTCAGTTGTGAACTAAACAATGAATTATT